GCTACAGTCCAGAGTCCAGAGTTACAGTAGCTTCAGGGGGCCTTATTATCAGGGAGGCCTTATGTTCAGGGAGGTCTTATTTTCGGGAGATGCCTTATATTTCAGCGAGAGGCAAAACTAAGTAGGTCTTATTTTCGGGGAAACATGGTAATCTCCTGTCAACTATCACCGCTTGATGACCTAATTTGGAGGCACAAGGGAGATAAATAGCTGACTGGAGGCCAGATACACTCTATACTCTCTGCTTCATATTCCTTTGGACAATCCACATGGAGCTATGGTGATAGAGCCAGATCCCTGGAGCTGGGGAAGCCCTGTGGAGACCCATGTCAGTGCCCAGATGCTTTCACCACCACTGGATCCACAACTCTTTAGACCAACATTTGGCAAAATTCAATGAAACAGCCAATAACAAATGCAGGAGAGGATGTGGAGTGATAAGAATGCTTTTACATTGCTGGTGAGACTGTAGAAGTGTACAGCCATTGTGGAAATCAGTATGACACGTCCTTAAACAAATTCATATTCAAGTACCTTATGATCCATCTATCTCTCCATTGGATATATAGCCTAAAGAAATGAAGACGATAACAGACATGTACACTATGTTTATTGTATCAATTTCCACAATAGTAAAAACATGGCAACATCTAAAAATCCCCACAACAGAGGCATGGATAAACAAACTGTGGTATATCCATACTATGGAATATTATGTATCAATAAAAGAATGATAACTCTCTTAAACACTGTAACATGAACAAAACTGGAGAACCTTATGCTTAGAAAACTTGGGCAATCTTACAAAGATAAATATTTAATATCACTGTTTTTGTCAGGGTAAACAATGAAGAAGAAATGTGGTTTATGCCAATAGACAAAACTCTGAATTTTCAAAGTCCATTTATCATTTTTGTATATATGGTTTATGTTCTTTGTGAACTGAGCAATTTTTTGCTCAATCCAATGCCACAAAAATTACCTTTTAGATGTTTTTGTAGGTTTAGATTGTATATTTAAATGTATAATCTTCTTTTATCTCATTTTTGTATGAAATATGAAGTGAATTTTATAACTTTATGTAGTCCAATTATTCTAACATTTGTTGAAACTCCTAACCTCTGTGAATTGTTTTATCCTAATATCATTCTCGAAAATTGACTCTATGCATCATTCTATTTATGACTTCTCTAAAGTATATGTCAGTTCTCACTAACAATTGCATTATCTAGACACTACAGTTTACCATTTGCATTTATTATAAGAAGAAAGGGTTGACCCATAGTAGCCACTGTTTATACAAGGGGGTACCCACCAAGATACGGAATTGCGCTGTGGAGCAGAACTTTCATAGTACACATTTTTTCCCACTAGGCGAGCATACAGCAATGTGTTCTGAGTTAGTACACCCAGTGGTATTGCCTGGCAAGGTTCTCTCTGGTCACAGTGAATTTTTTCATAGAAGCAGTTTCACTTGAATCTCAATTTTTAATGATGGCCAATTTAAGGGAACAGTGTACAGATGTGAAGTTTTGTTTCCTGCTTTGGAAAAATGTCACAGAAACTGTTGTGATGTTGAACACAGCTTAAAAAGGCAGCACTATGGGGAAAACTCAAGTGTACAAGTGGTTTTCTCATTTCAAAAAAGGCAAAATGTTGATTGATTATAAACTTAGTTCTGGATGTCCATCAACTTCCCAAACAGATGAAAATGTTGACTTATAGTGCATTTGGAGTTCATTCCACCAGGTCAGACTGTTAAGCAAGCTTTCTATTTAGAGGTTCTGAAAAGATTGCCTAACAGTGTATGACAAAAAAGGCCTGATTTGTGGCAGACTGGGGAATGGTTTTGCCACCACAACAATGCACCTGCTCATGTAGCCATCTCAGTTTGCCAGCTTTTGGCAAAACACAGCATGCCTCTCTTGCCCCATGCACCTTACTCACCTGAGCTCAGTCCATGTGACTTCTTTTTGTTTCTGCAAATGTAGAGGGCCAGGGAAGGACAGAATTTGATGATATAGAAGAGGTGAAGAAAAAAACCAAGGGTGGTGCTGTCAGGCGTCCAAACACGAGTTTGAAAAATGTTTCCAAGAAAGGAAGTTCTTTGAA